TTATTTCAGTTCTAGTTCTGCTTTAACATATTTGTTTTTTAAAAAAACTGGCCACAGTGGGTTAGAATTCTTCAGATGGCTGAAGTAGAACATGAAAGAAACTTGGCTTTCCTCTCAGCATCTTGGGTCTTATTTGAACTGAGTTCTGAAACGCAACTGTGGAACTTGCTAAATTCTAAACTTGATGTATGTGGATTATTAAAAATTAAGATGTTAGCAGACATGTGAATTGAGACTTAAAAATGTTCTAAACCAGGACAAACTTTCACAAACAAATATATGCTTGAACTGAATATTAAGGAAGATTCCAATAAAAATGATTGAGCTGTTTCTCAAGGTGAACTTTAAGGGAAATATACTTTTTTTACTTTCATATTAAGAATATATATTGTTTAATTAAGAAGCTACAATATACTTCTGCTTTAGAACTGGAAATTTATTTGCATTTTGCACAGTTTTGATACCAAGGATCAAGAACAATATGATAACAAACTGCAAAGTTATTTTATGCATGTGATCTTATAAGCTTAAATGAACCTTCACTAGAACAACCACTTCTTGCCAAGATATTTCCTGAATGAAAGAACAGCTGTGACTAAGAAGTTATAATTGCATTATCCTCTTGATGAAGTTCATGAAGTGAACTGAGGAGAAGCTGCTTCAAATGCAGAGAAGCAAACAGACTGAGAGAAGGAAATAACTTAGAGCACAATGAAATGAAAATAAACAGGACCTGGAACAGCAACCCACTTGTTACATTAATACTACTCGCTGTCAGTTAAATTAAAGGATAAGGCTGTGCTGTGAAAGAAGACAATCTACTCTAAAGATAGGTGTGCTTTCATAGGATTCTTTCCTAGTGCTCTGAAACACCAAAATGAAAGGTGGTGTTTTTAATTAAGATTTCATCTTGCACAATTTTATTTCATAGAATATTCCTTTATTTCTCGGACATAAAAACAGACAGAATTGCCTCTGCATGTCGTATGTTTCAGCTGTTAGATAGTAGAAATTTCGTTACATGCTTGCAGAACTGGCCTTTTCTTTCCCCCTTCCTTCTGTTGCTGTCTTCCAAAAAACAAGGGCATATGTTGCTCTAACTCAGCTGAAGTAAATGAGTTCTTATTCTTTTCTACCTAGATCTTCAGCTGAACAGATTAACTTGCTCAAGCTGGGTATTTGTGTTATTTCTCTGAACTTCAAACGTTTCAGCTGTGCTTTGATTTAAAACAAAAGTGAATGAGTCCTTGTTTTTTTCACCAAACAACAGGTTTGTAGTAATACATGCATGTGCTTATACCCAGCATGTTTGTGTATACAGAAACCTCTTCCACTATCTTAGTAGTAATTAGAAATCCATAATTACACATTTTTAAACTGTGTTCATTTTCTCCCCTGTGCCAAATCTCATTTAACTCAGAAAACCTTTGCTAAAATTGGAATAATACAAAGCACAATTTGAGACAATTATTTTTACTACTCCCAGGTGATGCATTTATTTTTGCTTACCCTTGCCAGAGGAGCTCATCATTAGCGAGATCCTGCCAAACACATGAAGCTAGACAGAGATCAGTTGCGTTCAGATATGACAAAATGGTAAAACTAAGCTCTGGTGGCAGCATTTCCAAGTTAATGAATCCTTGTTCTTTAGATTTTCTTGTCTTCAGCAGGTGGTAGATATCAATGCCTCCTTGGGCTTGTTTCCGGTGGTTTGTATTGGAGACATTGTTAGTAGCTATTCTCCTACCATGCTCTCTGGTAAGATAGCCTTGTCCACTGAATCCTTGGTGTTGCAGTTGCTGATTTCTAGCAACCCTCCAGAGTCCCTGACCCATCTGTGGGCCTGCTGGATGTAAAAATACAAATTAAATGTTGTCATAGTCACACTTCCTTTAACATTTAATTAAATTAGTTTATTTAGAAACTATGAAGTGCTACAGAATGAAAGGACAGCCAAAATCATCCAGAGAAATGGGGAACACAAAAGCAGGTTGCGACTGACATAAGGACAACATTTAAGAACTTAAATATATTGCAGCTAGAAGCCATTCCCAAATTCAGTGGATTTTTCTCTTTCTTGCTACTGAGCACCCAAGATGACTTTGAAAAAATGCTTAAGGAAGTATAAGGGTTAGGAGCTTGTGTCCATGTATTAAAGCCAGGACTCCAGCTTAAGCTATTTATCAGTTCTGTTGCTTCTTCTAGAAACACAATGTAGCAATACATCTGAAACACAGTATCACTCTAAGTAAAGATCAATCCTGCTCAGTACATGAAGAGGCACTGCGGCCCTGGGAGAGGAGGCATTACTAGAACTACTTATGCAGTACTGGTCTGGATGTGCAAAGATTACTTTCAGGCACTTTGGATTACAAAAGACCAATAAGAATCCATCAGATGGTTAGTAGATAACATACGTGTAAGTAAGCAAAAAAAGTTAATAGCCTCTTGAACTCTTGAAAACTGTAAGCAATAGTCACCTTGTTTAACTCTTATTCTTTGTCGTAGAGATTAAAGTAGTAAAGGAACGTGGAGGCTGAATGCTCAAAACACTGGCAGTAAATTCACAATTATATGGGTCAGAAGGGACCTCTAGTGATCATCAGTTATGGTGCTGGACAGTTCTCTGAAGTGTAAGTACACTGCAGCAAAGACTTGGAAGAAGTCTTGTCTGGAACATAAGGTGGTGTTTGTTCCTTTCTCTTTGCTGTCCCTCTGTAATGCCTTTTTGAAACTGTGGTACAATCTCATATCCTAAATCTTTAGAATAGTATCCAGAAGATTTTAGGTTCACTGTAAGAAACAAGATTAAAAGTCAACTCACTGACAAAAGCAAAACTTGGTTTCTTTGTCTTACTTATCTCAATTTGTACATTGTGCTTATTTTTTTTGTCAAAATTTGCTGTAGATAGTAATAAAAAGAACAGAGGACTTAATTAACATGACATTCCCATTTTGCTAGGCATTTTATATGAGCTTGATAGTTAGTGAAGTACAGTACTTAGTAAACAGGTATCTCCAAATGTCTTGAGAGGCTCCAACCAATTCTAGCCCTTTGCCTTGTCAGTGAGTTGAACACTGTCAACAAATTGTCATGTTTTCAAACATGCAGATGACAACTTGAAAGGTCCTGTTCACTCCCAGAAGTTATGAGGTGATCTGAATGACTGAGTAACAATGATCTGCCAATTCAATTGTCAGAAATATTAGGTTTTTGAAAACAGGTAAATGTATAGACATGTACGTAGATGTGAATTGAGTATAACCTGCACATTCACAGACTCATCGTAGAATGGCTTAGGTTGGAAGGGACCCGAATTCCAGCTAATATCTAACCAAAATCTTCCCTCTTCCAGTTTAAAGCCGTTTCCCATCTCTCAATCACTATTTGTGTAAAAAGCCAGCCTCTACCCTGTTTATAAGCCCTGCTCAACTATTGGAAGTCTGCAATGAAGTTTTCCCCACCCAGCAGGATCCCCAAGTCATCATCTGCAGGGCTGCTCTTGTAGAGTTCTTGCCCCAGTCTGTATGTGCTTTTGGGATTGCTCTGATCCAAGTACAAACAAACAAAAAAACATGCCTAAGTACGTAGCATTAAAACTAAAAATAATGAAATAGCCAAAGAGCAAGTCATTAGTTTCAGGGACAGAAAGAACCAGGTGCTTGTCATTCCTTATCATTATTTTAACTCCTCAGACACTAAAGCATCAGAAGGATGAAATATGATAAAGCTGAAATATCAAATATGGAATTTTACAAAATAAGTAATGAGTGAACTTCTATGTGAATTGTGTATGTCAAGTAATGAGAAAAGAAAGTTCTGTTAATTAAGGTAACTTTTATTAGTCAGACATTTTGCTAATATTTTTGCTATCTATTCTGACATTAGTTTATATAATTTTAATAGAGCTATATTTCCACATACATTAAAATTAAAAAACAAGTCTTTCAAAAATACTATTTGGATGTACATTAAGGCAAAAAAAAAAAAAAGACAACAAAAACAACAATGTAATAAGTAATTTTGAAGGCTTTGAAGAACATGAGATCATACTGCGACAAATTTCATAACGCACCACGGTGGCAACACAGAGAGAACGACAGCATTATCAGAAACAGATCATCAAAAGACTGCACCCAGGGAATTATCAAGTGAACTTTATTCCATTAGGTAAGGATCTGGCAATTTTATAATAGCTTTCAAGCTTCTTCAGTCAGATTATCTTTCTGTTCTGCAGGCCACGCTTATAAATGGGTCATAGTTGCAAAGGATCAAGTTTTCCTAGCCCTAAATCAAATAGCCAAATTTCATTTGCTAGCTTAATGTTTTTATTACAATACCCAGCTAGTAGTTCCTGTTTACAAACTGCATTCTGTTGAGCAATATCGAGCTAACAAGAACACCAGTGTTTGTTGCTGGTGCTCACAGGGTTCATCTTGCCACAGAATGCTAATTGTGACACATCGTTTACAGCCCAGTCACTATTAGCTTACTTATCATTATGGTTCCGAGACAAAAAAAAAAAAACAAACCAAAACACAAAACAACAAAACAGTGCTATGGTATCCAAGAAATTAGACTTCTTACAGAGTTCTCACATACTTATGCAGAAAGTATCAGTAGAGAAATCTCTTAGAAAGACTTCTTGAAATAAAAAAATGATTTAAAATGCATATTTCTATTTTAAGCACCAACTGAATGAGTTTCAGGGATGACAAAAAGCAAGACTCGATTCAAACCAACTGCTGGGAACACAGTGCGTGGCTGCTCAGCAGCAGACGTGCTGTTTGTAGAACCAACCACCTTTTCCCTGTCAAGCAAATGCCTTTAGCTTTGCAGTAATCCAGGATAACGCTTTGAGATCTCACTCATAGAACAGAGAGAGTCAGTGCATCATTTTTTCACTCAGAGGGTGGTGACACACTGGAACAGGTTGCCCAAGAATGTCCCATCCCTGGAGGCATTCAAGTCCAGATTGGATGTGGCTCTGGGCAGCCTGGTTAGCAACCCTGCACATAGCAGGGGGGTTGAAATTAGATGATCATTGTGGTTATTTTCAACTCAGGCCGGTCTATGATCGTATGGCTCTAAGAGTAATGGTATCCAAAAATATAATTTTGTGATATTGTGAACATCCATTTTCAGGCCCCAGATTCAGGAAGCCACTCAAATGCATGTTTCCAAACTTGTGATTGATGTAACTTCAGCCAGTACCCGCAACCTTCCGATGGCTTGGCTGTCACAACTCTCACAGGAAGAAGCGACACTAAGCTTTTTTGTGGACTGCTGATCTCCCCTGGCACTGCCTGGCCTATGGCTATCAACCAGCCTGACTTAACTTTGCAGAGAATCCCAGATCCAGGTCAGCTTCGTGTTACTGTGTTCTAGAGTAAATCTTTTTCGCAGTGGAGCCCACGACAGGAGACTACAAGCTAAACGCCATCTCCGTTAGGACGAAGATGCAGATGGTGACGGGGCTACCGCGTCACCAAAGCACACGCGGAGGCTCCATGCGAGGCCTTTGCATTGCACCGAGCCCTGCGGCCGCGTCCGAGTTCATCTTCGCGTCTTAAGCCTCATTCCCCACAGCCGCCCTCCGCGCGGCGGCCTGCCGGCGCCCTGGCTGTGAGCGACACAGCCGCCCCCAGACAACGAACGTGCCCCTCGTGAACGGGCCGCACCGCCCCTCTCACCGCAGGGCTGTCCCCGACCCGGACCGCGCCGAGGGAGGCGGCGACCCCGGCCCCTCGCAACACCACCGGCTGGTACCGCCCCCGAGTGCCATTGGCCCGCACCAGTCAGGCCCGGCCTCTGATTGGCCGCGTCGCCCGTCCATCATCTCCCGGCCGCTTGCCCGCCGACGGAGCCCATCCACGGGAGCCCTTCCGCGGTCCGTACCTGTGCGAGCTCGGGTCCAACCGCCGCCGCGACGAGCTCGTTGCGGGTCGGTGCGTGAGCCTCGCCGGACGGAGAGGGGCTAGGCGGCCCTAGGGGTGGGAAGAGGCGGTGAGGCCCCTACGGCGCGCAGGGAGACGCCGCCGCGCCTCCTGCCAGGCAGGTTTGACGTTCGCTGTTGTTGCTGGAAGTGGCGTCACCGCGGACGGACGCGCTGGAAGCGGAAGCTGCCGTTGTGCCGCGCGGCGGCAGATTCGGGTGTCAGAAGCGGGCGGGCGGCTCCGGCCACGGAAAGCGTCGGGGGTGAGTGCCGACCCTCTGTAGGGCTTTCCTAGCCCAAAGCAGGTGGACGCTTCTGGCCAACCTGGTGTCATCCGCAAACTTACTGAGGGTGCACTCAGTGCCCTCATCCCAGTCGCCAATAAGGGTATTGGATGGGACAGGCCCCAGTACCAACCCCTGGGGAACATTGCTCCAGATTGGATGCCAGCTGGATTTAAGCCCGTTCACCACCACTCTCTGGGCCCAAACCTCCAGCCAGGCCTTAACACAGCAAAGAGTACAACTTACTCTTGTGTTATGGCAGATACTCAGAAGCAGATCTCAAGGATTTGAGAAATGCACTGAAGAAACATTATTTCCGTAACTTCGAATATTGTGTCTAACATGTTTTTGTTGGAGTTCTTGTTTGGTTTTTTTCCACCCTTTCTCTCCAGCGTTTCAAAGTTGCTGAGCTTGGCGGTTTGCTAACAGACTTTCAGCTTGTTCAGAAGGCTAGGATGTAGGCTGTTTGTTGTGATCTGGGGGCTGGGCTGTTATCCAGTCTGTGCTTTTAAAGTTTTGTGTTGGAGAAGAACTGATACTGTTTGCTTACAAACACGTGCTTGTAAGATACAGTAAACAGTGCTAACAGATGTCTGTGAATGTAATCTATTTTTGAAGGAGTATCAGCTTTATGCATTTCTTTTTATTTAGTTCTTCAATGACTTCTTTTTTTTTTTTTTTCAACACAGTCTTCTCCTCCACTTGAGAATTTATTAATCGATTTGGCCAGAAAGTAACACTAAAAGTTTCCTGTACATCTTTATGCCTCTGACAAAGCTGATTTCGATGTTGATATATCGTGCATTATTGATTTTTTTTTTTCTGTTTTTTCTTTCTTGCCGGATAGCTCTGCAAAGAAAGGGGCACCATTTTGTAGTAACATTATGCCACTAAATGAGTCTTCTGTGAATGATAAATTAAAAAGCAGATTTTTTGACTTGTGTGTTACAATGCAGAGGTTAAAACTGGACCTCTTGGCTATAGTGCCAGTAAACTTCGACCTACCTTAAATTACATAGGCTGCCTAGTTTGTTGCACCACTTCTGCCTGAACAATTTCAACTGGATTTAGTGGATTGTTTAATGGAGAAGCATTGTCTCCTTTGAGATATCAAATAAGCTTATTCAATCCTTTTTGTTTGGCTTAGCAGCCCTACATTCTTCATGTGCATACAGATACCTATCTTTAAAGATCTTTGATAGTTGATGGGATTAAGCATTTCTACTCAGCCCTGCTATGGGTGATATGAGGGAAATAACTGGTATCAATTAGTATTGAGCCCTAGCTCTGTGCTGTTTTGTAATGTCAGAAATAGTCACCTCTAGAAAAGAGAAATTTCAGTGATAATGATATGTACTGTAATTTTAATGTGCTTTTCTTTTTTTCTTTTCTTTCTTTCTTTTTTTTTTTTGGAACAGACAATATTATATTAAAATTACCTTGTAATCTGAAAGAGCAGTGTTTGGAAGAATGACAACAGGAGACCTAAAAGGATGTTTAAGAAAAATGGAACAAGGACTTCGCATGTTAAATTATCCAAGAGATGTGGATTATACAGTGTAAGAAACAGTGTTAATAAACTTATGCTAATACAGGATGACAGCAATATGTGTAAGCAATACACTTGCTTTGCATCCAGTGATGAGTAAGCAGAGAGGGTATGACTGTGTGAAGTTGGGATTTGATACACATGGAATGAAAAGTGAAATAATGCAGTTTTGCTAGTCTGAGCAATTTTCTTCCCCCCTTGTTTAATTTCTCTTTGTTTCTTTTTGTGAGTGCTGACAACACTTTCTTCAGGGATTTTCATCTTGTAAAGATGGAACAGCACGATGTTTAACAGTGAGCTTTTGGGCTTTAGACCTGACCATGTTGGGATCGTGTGGGAGGTCACAAAAAACATTGTTTCAGGTGTTTTACAGGTGACAATAGAGACTGCTGAATGAGATATGCATGGAAAGATGCTTGCAATCAAGGGAACCAGAGAAAAAACTCAAAAATGAAGGATAATATAATTCAGGTGTAACATGCTTGCTATATTGAGGATATGTAATTTTGAGTGTAATGTGTATGCTATGTTAACATTTCAAGTTAAATGTTTGCAATTGTGCAGTCTTTTATTCCCTTTTGCTATGTAAAGTACTTTTGTTTCTCAATAGGTTAGTGAAGGGTGATCCAGCTGCATTTTTACCCATAATTAGCTATTCCTTTACGTCGTTCTCAACTTACATAGCAGAACTTCTGGTGAAATGTGATGTGGAACTTACAGCAAAGAGTGACTTGCGCTTTATTGAAGCTATTTATAAGGTATCTGTCTTCACGTTCTTTAAAAAAGAGGCACAATTTTGTGTGTGACCTCATAAAAATACCTAATGAGAGTGAAAATTTTTGGCTGTGAATAAGAACTGTAATTTGGTTAACATTTAAGATCAGTAGTAACTAAGGATGTTCAAAGTCTTTAGCTTCCTCATTTTCAGAAAAATCTAAAGGAATTTCAATTTTTGGAACAGTCACAGAATCAGTAATGTATTTGCATTACGTATTAGGTGTGAGGAGTACTGAAATATTTGTTGAACATGTTATGTAGTCAGAAGTAGACACAGAGAAATCATAACCAGCAGAAGAAAAAAGTCAAAGCAACTTTCAATAATGATAATGAAAAAACAACTAAGAAATTGGCATGATATTTTAAAATAATTTTATGTTCAAACTCCAATTTTTAACAGTTTATAAATTAATATCAAATCAAGTGCTTTGAACTGAATAAGTGCAGAATGAAAGAAAGACTGCAGAAGAATAAGAACCTGAGCATGTTATTTCTACAGTAGTTTTTAAAAATGATTTTCAAAGCAAACTTTTTTTTTTCCAGCTTCTTCGAGATCAATTTCACTATAAACCAATCCTAACTAAAGAGCAGTTTCTTCAGTTTGGTTTTGCAGAAAGAAAAATGCAGGTTGTTTGTGACATTATCAACTGCGTGGTGAAAAAACATAAGGAATTAAGTAGCCTGAATAAGGTACTGATCAAATGGTAACTTTACTGTGAGGGATGCTATTTTTGATGTAGTTTTGGTCCTCGAGGTAGAAGGTGAAGATCAGATTATTTTTTGTCAAAATAGGGGGGAAATTAGTATAAATTTTCTTGCTGAGATTCTTGAATGCTGTTGAGTGTATAAATGACATGAGCTGCCAGTGTATTGTAGTATAAACAAAATAAAATTACTAGAACTAAGATCAGTTAAATACTTGGTATCTTTATGGGTAAGTGGACTTTTCTGATTTTTAACACTGTGAATGTTTACGTAACTCAGACATTACAGGTAGATTTAAAAACAAAATCCTCTGTAGTATTTAAGTTCTGGTAACATTTAATTTAAATATGAACTTGATTTGTGTTTTGTTAGTATACATCTTATGTCTGATTATTTTTATTACTCACATTCGATGGTATTTTAATAAAATCTTGTCTTCATATTATATTTCAGTTGAGTTTAAAAGATCTTCAGAACTTCTTTGCTTTATTTCTAATTGTGCTTCTGAAAGTGACATACTTTTATCCTATTTGACATTCAAGCTTGCAAGTTCAGTGTTTGTGATCAACTTTCATACAGCATTGCGTAGGTGTTAAGAATATGTGTGTGGTATTCACTTTGAGATCTGTTTTCTCTGTTAATTTGGGATATAATTTATATATATTTATGTTGTATTTCAGAGTTTTAAATGCCTTTATGTGTGTGTTATGCAATTTTCTTGCCTGCCGACAGTGGTTCGAAGTAGTGTCTTCCTTTCCCTCCCAGAAAAATGTATCAGAATGAGTTTTTTTCTTCCTCTTTATTCTGAAGGTTAAATCCCAAACAAGAAAGAAATTCAGACCTTCAAAACGTGAAATATGGTCAAATTGTGGTAGTGTTCTTATTGATCTCAGTGGCAGCACTCTGAATTCCAAACAGGTATGAAATAGTTTTTATGTTGTGTATCTAAAAGTTAGTCTCACTTGTAGCAAGTCAGACTGTTTCTGGAATATGTGCTTTTGTGTAGGTTTTAACATTTGATCATGCTTGGTATGTTTTTCAAAATGTGGAAATAGTGGCTATTACAGAAACTATTCTTTTTTACTGAGTAGTTGATTGAGTCTTGGTAGCAATGATCTAATTCTGTTATCTGTTGAATTATACAAAAGAAAAAGGACGAAGAGTAAACAAAATGAAGATATAATTGGAAAAATATTATATTTTTTGAGACAGAATTGTATTTGGCCTCTCATTATGCTGTTTTGAAAGCTAAATTTAAAATACTTCTTGCTTTTTTGCTGGAATCTGTTCAGCAAAGATTTCTTAATGTATCATTCCCTTTGCCTTCAGTTTTTTGAGAGTAATATTTGAGCTGATACATTATGTTTTTCTTGTGCTGTGGAGGAAACAGCTTTCCCCATTTTTCCTGGTTAAAGTAATATCCTACAAAACTTTCTTTAGGATGAGGCTCAATAAAGCTTGATGATTTTCTTTAGCATGAAAATGCTGCCCTTAGCAGTGAGGAAAACTTCATAAAGAAAGCACTTGAAATCACTTTTCATCAGCCACGAACTGCCAGATTAGTGGAATTAAATGGGAATGTATGTGAGTGTATTAAGAATTCCCTTGAAGAGAAGAATTTCAGTGTCACTTCAAAACGTGCAGTTTCCTAACACTTGCAGATTACTACTAAACAAAACTACTAATTGTGGGTTCCTAATCATTAGATAATATATTTTGCTTTGTGAAATGTAGCGATGATAAGACTTGCTCCATCTGGAAAGAAGGGCAGAGATTGTCTTTTGTTCTCTCTGAAGAAAATATTCAAAGAAGGGGGGGAAACATGTTGATAACATGCAGTACTTTAGAAGTAGTGAAGGAAAAGAGATTTCCAAATTTCCCCACTAAGCTCATTTTTTCTGAAAGGTTGAGTGGTAACTTCATTGTTGAATCTATCCACGTGTATGTTATTGCATAGGAAACTAGAGAGTCCTAATCCACACTTTGAAATTTCACAATCCTAGCCAACGTTCTTGGTTTGTTGTTTTTTTTTTTTTTAACAACAGGAAAGGCCATTGATTGTTTCAGCACTGTTTATAGATGCGAACCAGTATACTCAGTAAATATAGTAATTTGTGTGCATATTTATTTTGCAGATCTTCCATGTCTGTATGGCTTGCTTGTTTTTAAAATTTAAACTGCCTGTTGTGGGTTTCTATATTTTGCAGCCAGTTGGGATAAAACTTTTTTATTTTAATTTAACAATTAAATGCTAGAATAATAGATATTTTGTGTCAGTTATCTGCCTGATGCATGTAAATATTCTTCTACTGAGAAACATCAGTGGGTTTTTACTTTTATTTTATTTTTTTTTTTAAAGCAGGCTCAAAAGGTGCCTCTTGTAGTACGACACACAGGAGATGAAGTTAGGGATGACCTTCCTCTTGGGCCTGTTAATCCAACACCCCTTAATCCACCATCCCTTCCAGCAGAGGGCGGTAACGAAGAAGAATTGTACTTAGATGATGATGTTGTGGAAGAACAAGTAAGAATATTTAAGTTTTCCACGTGCGTTCCTAACTTTTTTTTTTTACAGGACCTTTCTTAAAGGAAGAGGTTTTGAAATAATAGCTGGATTCTCTTGAAATATAACTAGTATATATTCAGTGGTTAAAAATGTCAAATTGTATTGACCTTTCAAGTGCCAGTTCTGTTAACAGTTTCTGTAAAAGCTTGGTTCAATGAATAATTAGTTTATTGCAATTCTGAAATATATCTCTAATGTAGCATAATGTGCTTACTTAAATTGAGGAAAAATTGCATTTAATTTCATTGATCAAAGGATGAATTATATCTATGCCAGAATGAGAAAATGTGTTTTTATCCATGTTCTTAGGTCATAGAGAACAATTCTCAGATGGAGTTCCTAAGGAGTCAACTTGCTGATTGCCAGGAAAAGCTTCATAAGCTAGACTGGATGGAAGATAAGTTACGTGTTTTGGAAGAGAGGCTGAAAGGGAAGGTGATTATAGATGAGAAGGACTGGAATAATTTGTTGAGCAGAGTTTTGCTTCTTGAAACAGAACTGTTGCTGCAGTCCAAAAAGGTATATTAACATCAATTTTATTTCTATAATAAAAGCAGATATCAGAATAATAATTTTTTTTAGTGCTTCCCAGTTATTAGTAGGTGACAGGAGTATTGCCAAACACAGTGCTCTCAGCTTGCTTCTGTTCTTCATACCTCTTGATGCATGTCTTTCACTGTTCTTAATGGGATGATCTGAATGCCAGTGTTGTTTCAGGATTTGTTTTTTTTCAATTTAATTGCTACGTTCTGTTGCTTTCTGATATTCTGTAGCAAACTACTTATTTGGAAACTGTTTCCAGCAGGTGTAGCTCAGTATATTTTCCAAAGTAATGACTGTGTGTGATTTTTTTATGACAATGATTTCATTGAGATAACTTTCACAGACTTAAAATTGTGCTGTCTTTGAAAGCTTACCGTATGTGAAGTGGAGAATTTCATTGTGATGGGGACACATTTAAGGCTCCTTTGTCCATGCTGTTTTGGATTTCTCATTCTGGGCTGCAAATGTTGTTTCAGTAGTATGGGATGGTACTTTTGCCACTGATACAGCCTAACTTACTTTTTAGTTTAATCAGTTGCTGTTATTTCCTTTGTGAGCTATAATGAAGTCTTAATCTTTCAGTAGTTATATATGTGGCATGTACAATGGAAAATAGAGGATTAATGGAGAAGTTGATTCTTACTTTAATCATGCACTTACTTTATGATTATCTTTTAAATATCTAATCTACTTGATGGCTCATCTCATTTTTGCTTGCTCTTACCTGTCTTATCTGTGATATGCATTGTATTTTTAAAAGTACGAAAGTATTCCAATTCTGATGTGGCTGTATTTGTCAGAGTTTATCAAGTATTTATTTTCATGCTGTTGATCTTTGCTAAGTAAACGCTATTTTATTTCATATATGACTGCATGTTTGTATTTTAAGATAGAATGAATCATAACATCAGTTTTGTGATCATATGCTTAATTTCAAAATGTGTTTGCACGTGTATCCAAAGGATGCTGTCAGATTCTTTCCAGAAGTTGGAAACCCTTTTGAGAGGTGTGGGTTTTTGTTTTTTCTTCCCTGTAGTTGTAAGAATGTTGAATTGACTCATAACCTGGAGCTTAGAATGTTTTTCTGGCCCTGAAAATTTGAAGATATCACTAGTACTCATATAAAATACATGGGTTTTTTTAATTGCTTTTCTTGAAAGTTTTCTAGTTATGCCGAGTTTAGAAATGGGCAAATTTTCAGACTGACCATGGGATTCTTTGAGCTACATCCTTCAAAAATAATAGTGATTGACGTGATTTTTTTTTAAAACAGTCTTGGGTCAGTAATGGCTTATAGGATTTACCATTTGAAATCAATTTCTTGTGCTTAAGTGTTTTAATTTAATTATCACCTGACGTATGTCCAAGTGAGTCGGCCAATATTATGTTTTTTCTCCTCTGATCAGTTTCAAGGGCCTTTCAGCTACACTGCCAAACAGATTTGAGTCCTTTTCAGATGTATTTTCTTCAAGAGGTGATTACTACATGTGTGGTAGTGCGGAATGGCTTATTATTCAAACTAGGCTTTTTTTTTTTTTTTAAAAAAAATCTATATATGTTTGGTTTTTATTACTTTGGTAACATTTACTGAAGTAGTTCAGAGGTCAGAAATACTATGGAATATTCACTGTGAAAGTACTTGACGTTAGTGTCATTCAAAAATTTACAGGAAATGAGTTTATTTCTGCAGTACCTGTTACTGTTAGAAGTTGTGGCAGAAACAAGTTTGAATTTAGTTTGTGTGTGGCATTGTTAGCACTTCTTTCAAAGCAAAAGAAGCTGAGTTTTAAAAAGAGTCTTTATTGCAAAAAAAAGTTAGTTTTAGACTTCTGATAACTGCCTGGAAATAATTGTTTGGGCCAGAGAATTGCTGCTGCTTTGTTTTTTTTGAAATTCCATCCAAGTAGTTCTTCATAGATACAGAAGCAATTTAGAGTTACTCCTTTCTTCAGGATTTTTTCAGGGAACATCTGGCATCTAGCCAGCATAGCAGGAACACTGTTTTGCAGTGCTGCCACAAAGTAGCAGCAGCAGTGCATTTAGCTCAAGGAAAATCTGAGAGATTACCAAATCCCTTCAATGAAAGGAGTTGGGCAATAGCACTCAGTGCAGATATCTTTTTTTTTTTTCCTTTTTCCCCCCTCCCTCCCTTCTCTTAGAGAAACACTCATAATTGCAGTCGTCCTTAGCTTTTTCACTCACAGCACCTACTATTTCTCCCTTATCTACTTACTTGGATATAATCCCCTGTTAAGTGATACAGTTACATATTCCAGTATATGAATTACTGTACTTTAGTGAAAGGTAGGATTTCAAACAATAGTTTGTTGGTTAATAAAGGCTGAATGTTGCTCAAGGGTTGTGTTTTTTTTTTTTTTTTTTTTTTTAACTTTGAGGTAAGGAAATTGCATACATTTCTTAGTGGAATATCAGTTTTGTTTTCTTGTTTACAAACAGCCTTTTTGAAGCTAGATTGAGTGAAACTGAGAACTTTTCTAGAAACATCCCTCTCATTTAGGAGTCTGGAAAATTAGCCTTAGCTAGGCTTGACTTCTAAGCATTCAAGTGGAATTAATTTCAGTTCACCTGTAGGCTAATTCTTAAGACTAAAATGCTACATTTCTGGGTTTGGAAGGTGCAGTTTATTGAGGTTAACTGCAGCCTGAAACAAGATGTAGTTGTTAGCACAGGTCAGGAATATTATGGCTGTTCACTCTACTCATACCAAAGTTACAGAAACTATATTTGGACCTGCTTTTGACCCATTTTAGTAACAGCAATATTAATAAAGCCTCCATGGAATACATAGTCCTGTGAAAACACGTGTGGAATGTTTACGTAATTGGATTGTTGTAGAACAAGTATTCATGTTTAGTACTTTAGTATTCATTTGTTCAGTCAGAAGGTGTTTTTTATATATGGCTAAACTGCAGTAAACTTGTATTTCAGAGAGACTTATCTGCAGAGGTCAACAGCGTAAGTCATGATGAGTCCAGTATAATTCCCATCTCTCCTGGTGAGTGTTAATGACTTCTTTAATTAAAGTCATATGCTAAGTGCTTCTTGCTGACTTGATTAAAACAGTCTTCTTAAGTAGACAATCAATTGCAGTTCTAATTTAAATACATGCTTTAGATAAGAAATGAATCTAGTAGCAATTTCATGTTAGTAAATACAGACGCTAAATACATTACAGAAATATTTTTTTAAGCTTTAATACAAATACATAGCATGCTAATTAATTTACAAATAACACTTGACCAAAAGTCTCAGATGCTAACTTAATTAAGGTGTACAAAATACATTTGCTGCCACAGTTTATTGTATTTAAAATAGTGGCACATTTACATTGCTTACTTTTATAATAGAAGTTGGGGATAACTGAGGCAAAAACAAGTTCATAATCTGTGCTGAACATTCTCTATGGTTTTTCCCTCTTGAATCAGCAGTTATCCAACTTGCCTTTTTGCTGAACTTTCTTGTTTTGAAAAGCACAACAAAATCTTTCTTCAGTTTCTAGATGAATTTTGGTAATATACCAGACGTAAACGAAACAGCCTTAAATGGGAAAGAAAAAAAATTCCCAGCTGCCTTAGTAACTTTTTTTTCCCCTCAATGGCAGCTGCTTATCCCTTATGTTTCATCATTTATTAATATGACTCGTCTCCATGATGGCGGCTATTATTCCTACCACTGTTAATAAGGAGGATATTCTCATCTATTAGGCCTTTTGATCCAGTGTTGGACAGGAATTAGACAAGAAGTGAAGAACCTACTTCTTTTATCTGAGTAAACCAGATTCCATGTAAGTTAGGAAGGCCATTTCTTGATTATGTCAAGATTTATTTTTATTTTAAAGTCTCAGAAATTGCATCTTTATACAGACCTTAAGAAGTTTGCCATGTTTACTTCCCTTTGTGTGTTCAGTGATACATTACTGACATTTGAGGACTTCATACTTGGGAGATAGGATGGTGGATAGTCTTTTATAGGGAATTTTCATGTTTTCCTTTTTGTAGAATTCTTTTGACTTCATTATTCTAGCTTTTCAAAAGTTTGATCCAAGTCACTGTAAGCTTAATGATTATGCAGCCAGTTTTAATTGTATGTCTAAGGCTATCCAGTACTGAGTATGTTGGAGTTTTGTGGGTTTTTTTTTTCATTTTTTGTTGTATCACTCTTCAAGAATCACTGCTGTACTGAAGGAACACTTTTAAATTTAAATTGATTAGAAATAATTTAATGTATTTTATGAATTACAAAATAGCTTAGCTGAACATGTTCCAAAGGCATAATCTGAAGATGCTTATATTATTTAAAATAAGGTCAGATGAACACTTTATGTACTAAACTATTTCTTTTCCTTGGCAATGGTATTCTGAATTTAAGAGTACTGAAGCCTTCCCATGTAAGAGATAACACCGTCTCTGCCAAATGGATGCCAAATCTAGTCCAGTGTGAGCAAGGCTAGGGAAACAGCAAGAAATTTTAAGCTGTGTGCTGACCTTATCTTTTCTGCTCCTTAAAAGTCAAGTTACTTAAAAACATGCTTGAAAAACAGATCACAATACTAACAGTGTAAGCCATCTGAAATTACTAAATCATACATTTAATAGTAATTAGAGTTTCTTAAGCATTGATTTCACTGTACTTATTTGAAAAAGGCAGCATTCTTAAGTGATCTTTTTGGTATTTGTCTTGTTTGTGTAATACCTAATATACTTCATTTTTTCTTGTCTTAAGAAATGAGAAAATTATTTTGGATCCTCACAAGTAGTTTTTTTTTTTTTTTCCTTTCTAAACAATGCATTGTCTTCTGTTTTTATATATGGTAAATCAAGCTATTTGGTAGCAGACCTTGTATTAAGAGAGGAAAAAGGCAAAGATCACATAAAAATGAGCCTTTCTCCATAGATACAGAAAAGAAGGAGGAGATGACAGAGTGTCCTCGTCAGTCGTCTGGATACAGTTCATTATTATCCACAGACTCATCTCCTAAAGGCATGATAATTAATTCTCATGATCTGACAGAGATTTCAAAGGTAATTAAAACTGGCAAATGCTTCATTGATTTCCTTTCTGATGTCAAGAGAACAAGTAAGCATTAATATCAGTTGTATATGCTACTGGTGAAAAACAAGGAAATTATGCAAAGCTGTTCTAGATCTGTCTCTTAAAAAATCCTTTTGCTATGTTTTTGCTTAAAGTTGCATTCTCTATGAATTTTTCAGATTGAAAGTCCATCTGAAGAATGTCAGCTTTGAAGAGTTCACTAAACTTGTTGCTTTTAAATTGCAGGAGACAACAAGACAAAGAATGGAAAGGATAAGTAAAATGTAAGTAATGAGAAAGGGCAGCAGGAATTCATTTCCCAGGAGAGAGTTGTACTGGACTAAGACTTACAGAGAATGTACATATGTGTTCCAAACCTCAAAGGTCTCTACGTCAGGTGTGGCATTTCCTTATGGCTCCACTGGATAATAAATCCACCTACAGTTCTGTATTTGTGGGATGAGTCATTGTTTTGATTTCTAAAAAGCAATAGAAGCATTCTTACTAGTATCAACTAAAGACCAAAGGGTGTTTAGAATTCAGTTGACAAGGAGTAGCAATGTTATTTATCTTCTGATAGGAGTTCCCTAGATTGAGCAACTTTTCTTCCTGAAAAGTAGCTAATCTATTTTAACTCTGCTGTTTTATTATTTAAGAAAAAGAAAAACCAATTTCAGCCTAAGCATTACATTAAGGTGTGTTTAATGCTATTATTGCGAATTATAAGTAATTTTTTTTTGTAAGAAATACTTACATTACAATTGATTATTGTTAAGGAAAGAACAATGCATTTAATTCCTAGTCTATGAATGCCTGTCCTGAATAAATTATTGCCGTCTTTTGTGATTTAATCTTCTCTACTTTTGTGTGGGTTACTTCTTTGTGTGTGTACTTGAGGTTTTTTGATATTTGATAGACATTTTGTGTGCAAAGCAATTGCAGAGGAAGAGGGGCATGAGAGGATGCTTAGTTTAATGCTATTAGTATTGTGGATCTATCTGAAGGTAAATAATTGATTTGCCTTTTAGTTTATTTTTATAAGTATATGTGACTCTGTAAACAATTTATTTTCAGAATTGAAGAAACCTCAGAATTGTTGAAAACCTCAAGTAACACCTCTGAAAAGGCCTGAAAGAATGGCTCTTCAGGCCGTTCTCTCTGATGTATGGATATAAAAATTAATATGTATGCTTGTACGACATTAAATTTTTAATATATCAAATTTATAATGGTCACTGTTTTTTATATTTTTTGAGTAAATATCTTTGAATGCATCTGTGTATTTATGATTTATTTTAAATTTATCTCACTGACTTTTACTTTGTAAAACTGTTGAAATAGTTTCTCCCTTTCTCATTTTGTAGAGCAAAGTCATCACAGCAGTGCATTTTTGTGTTGACATTTGTTAGCAGTGTGCTAAGTAGTGTGTTTTTTAAAGCATGGGCTTGAGGACCATGGTTTACATCCTGTTGGAAACACTCCAGCTGGTACTTACATATTGTACCCAAGAAGCTTTATTGCATACTGTCTTACTATTTGGACTGTTGAATAAATTTTAATGAAAACACACTTTTAAATACATACCTTTTTTAATAGAAATTTTTGTATGCATCTAGAGAGCACCAACGCATTATGGCTTCCATTAACACAAACAGAGTGTGAGTCAGTTTGATCCTAAACATTAAAATGTGTGAGTAAGTCCACAGACTACAAGAGATGTGTTGAGTGTTTTAGTACTCTTACCCAACATGTTTTAAGACTAGCAGCACAGATGGAGACCATCCAGTATACAAAGATGCACAAGACTTTCATGATATGAAGCTGCATTAAAATTTCTCTTTAGCAATGTAAGATGCAACACTTTCATAAACATATAATCAAAAAAATATGTAGAGTGTGCCAAGATTTATTTCCCTTTGTAAATTAGTGGCCTATCATATCAGTATTTCTTTGTGCTATAATGCCCACTTTACATAAAAGATTTTGGAAGTTTGATTCATAAAATCAATGTTTTGGGTTTGTTTTTTTTTTAGCAGTTTGCAAATGAAGGAAAGAACCCAGCTGTTCCAGGTTATGCTATAAAAAGTAATTTGTATTTTAACAGTAATGATTTTTTTTTCTGTAATCATACAGAATTTCAATTTATTTTACATATAAACAAGTACATAACTTGATCAAACATGTTGTATAAACTTAATCAAGGATTTTTGAAATTTTTCATTAGAACTTTCCATTTTCAATATATTTGTTTCCAGAAAATAAAAGAACTTAGTAAGAAGGCATGATCTTAAAATTAGATCTTGGAAATTACTTCATTAGTTTTACAATAATGTATATACTTTTTTCTAGATATAAGAAGACACCTTCTAAAATAGGACTGCAGCACCATCTTGTGGAAATGTTTATACAAAATAATAACCATAGTAGGAAAAAATAAAGTGTATTCTATACAGTTAAAACCATTGCTTTAAACTAGCAGTGATAAAATATTTTGAATTTACCAACTCCTTTTTAATGCTGCTTCTTTGCATTGGCTTGAAAGAGGGAAGGCAATTTAATTAAAATAATTATTAATATTTAATCTTCATGGCAGGAACCTGGAGAGCAATGAATCTGTTTATGTTGGTGTAGTGCTCAGTATGGGAAATGCTGGTTGATAAAAAATGGTTCAAGTTGTAAGTATTAATCCTTTAACATGTGTGAGTGATGCAGTGTTAGGAAAAGGTGTTTTTAGTCTGCAATTTAATATCATCTATATTCACTAATGCAAAATTGAAAATTCAGAGTAGTTCAACTATTTTCTATCCTAGTGCTTTTGTCTACACAATGTGATTCAACCTTTCGCTTCACCTGTTTCTAGGACAAAGCAAGGTCTCACTTCAATCAAAGTAAAGCTAAGTGTGTTACAATTAGGGCAGTGCAGCTGGTTTTCTAAAGGTATTTTTCTGACACCTGCTTTTTTTTAATGAAACTTGTTTTTTGGAGATGGTACCATATTATGAAAAATAAATATTGGCAATGCTTTCTAATCGTCTACATTTGAATAATACTTTCTTTTAAAAAAATATCCATTTGTATCATTGGAAACAACTAGAATGGCACATACTTCACCAAAGTAGTGCAGTGATAAGATGTGCATTTCAAATAAGAAAGTAGCAAAATTTTTTGAAAATTACTAGTATAATGCTACTTTGAGCATTGTTACAACAGTTTAAAAGTTGACATTGTGTGTATTATCAGATGCACTTGTTGGATCTTGCTGACAGAAAGTGTTGGGATCATTCCAAAACACAAATTAAATTCATCCAGATAGTATTCTTTGCTATATTTTCCATCATGCCCACCTCTTTCCAATGACTGGGAAAAAATTCCTTTTGTTCAAGAGATATTATTCAAGATAAATGTTCTATGATTATAGCTCATCACTTGAATCACTATTAGTGTGTAAGCTTACAGAATTTAAGTATTTAAAAATGTAGGTTATTAATTTTAGATCCAAGAATTGTTTTGAGAATATCTCCTTAAACTTCAGTAGAGTAATGCACCTTGTAATGCATGTGTAGATTCAGTTATATGTGGGATGATAAAGCATAATATCATTTTAAGTAAAACACTAAAATTCAGATTTGGTTGTACCTAAGAAAGGCTGAGTTCAGTTAAATACCAATATTTAGGTGTAACTTGAAGTTCTTATAGTATTACATTTTGCATCATCAGAAGTGTATTCAATCTGAAGGATATAATTCTTAAGTGTGCCCCACTTCCTTATAATTGTATTCAGTTTTCTTATTATTATTCTTGGAGTTTCTGTCCTGGTTTAGTCATGTATCTGATGTCAGGCTCAAGCAATTTCTGGTCCAAAAGCAAACATAGTTGAGAAAAAACCTTGGCTGAGAATTTTTTGTTTGCATTTTTAATTTTTCTTTTGGTTAACTTTTCCTTTATGTTTGCGTGATACAGAATGTGTGTTTTCTTGAAATCAATTCCATTAAGGTGAAAATCTCAGAATCTGCAGAACGAGACTCTGTGGGGAAAGAGGTTAGTTGTTTTTCCCTCACTCTCAACAGCAATTAGTAGGGCCCCCATCTTTGAATTATAATATAAAAAATAATTTTGTCACTGCTTTTAGTCTGGTCATGCTGTGCATTAAGACTTTTGTATCTTCATTACAGCTTAAGAACAAATCTGAGATATTCCTATTTTTTTTTTTCTGTTAAGAATACTTGAATTTTGGTGTTTTTTTTTTTTTTTTTTTTTTTTTTTTTTTTTTTTTTTTTTTTTTTTTTTTTTTTTTTTTTTTTTTTTTGTTTTTTTTTTTTTTTTTTTTTTTTTTTTTTTTTTTTTTTTTTTTTTTTTTTTTTTTTTTTTTTTTTTTAATTTTAGCTATACGTTTCAGTGTGTTTTAAACCTAGGACGCATTTCTCATTTTAGTATTGTATGGGAACTACTGAATCGTGGCCTGAACCTCTGATTGTTCACCTGAGGCGAGCAATGAGTCAGCCACGTGAGCACAGGTGAGGGCAATTCACCTGTGCTGCTTGAAGAGGTGGAGCCTGGCTCCACCTTTCCTAGATACATTTAAGAGCTGACTACCAGGGGGGAAGGATCTCTTTCTGGAGATCCTTCCTTTGGAGTTTTACAGTGAGCCCAGGACGAGGGTAAGCATTCTATCTGTTCTCTTCTTGATATGATAACCTGCTTAGCCAAACTCTTGTTTATTTCATAATTATAACATCTGTATATTCATTGATTATACAAGTTTGCATAAAAATAGAAATCTAAACCCATCAGACTTAGGTTTTGCACAATACTGACTTCTGGCAAACATTGCTGTATGTCTTAATGTTGCTTTACCACTTTCAGACATGGGAGGAAAAAAAAAAAAGCACAACCAAAACAAGCAAATAGAAAAACAACACAAACTTTCTATCTTTACTTAGATACTCCTGATACTCCTCTAAAGCAGGTAAAGCTTTAGAGCAGTTGAAGGAAATTAAAACACCTGTGTGTTAAGCATTCTAAGTGAGGAAAAGCAGTTATTAAGAACTACATGACATTTCTTTGCTTAGATATTAAACAGCTCATTTCAAGGTGTAGTAAACAGTAATCTTGCACGTGCAATTTAAATGTAGCAGATGCTGTATTTTTTATTGCAAAATTTTCATTTTCTTTGGATTCCATCCAGAGCAGATACTTGATTTGAAATCAGGAAGGCTTTAAATTATCTGGGAGAAAACTGCTTTAATTAACAACAATAAACAGTAGTGTGAAGCAATGGTGTTCCAGTGCAGTGTTCTCCTTTAGCCTTTCAGTTAAGTAAAGGAAAATTCTTATGCAGGAAAAAGATATCAACATCAGATAATCAAACTAGATTGAGGGCTACCAAAGGGGACTTCAGGACATAATGTTGGCATTAGTTGTTAGAGCAGGAATACAGACCATATTTTCCTTTATCCCTTCAATGGCAGTGAGAAATACTGAGAGGAGCAGGAAAACCTGTCTCCCAGCTGATAAATACGTAGTTGGGAGACTGGTGCCACTGTAGGACTTTTGGCTTTTTCAACTGTGGGGCGGTCTGATGCCTCTCATCTGTCTCAAAGAGGGAAACTGATCCTAGAGTAGGAGCTGGCAGGGCTTGTTGAGAGGGCTTTAAACTAGCTATGAAGGGGAAAAGGGATAAAACGAGGCTTGCTAGAAGTGAACCTGGGAGAGCAATACCAGGGTGAAGAGTGTGGCAAATGGCTCAGTTGCATTGCAGCTATGGTAATACGCACAATGTGGGCAGCAAACAGGAAGAGCTGAAAGCCATCATGCCCCAGGCAAACTGTAACTTAGTTACCCTTACTGAAACATGGTGAGATTGTTGCCAGGACTGGAATATTGCAGAGATGGCTATAAACCTCTTCAGAAGGGATGGGCAAGAAAGGAAGAATGGTGATATTGCTATCTGTCCTAGAAAGTTTAGATGCTGTTGATCTTGGGGCTGGCAATGATAAAGTTGAGTCACTATAGTTAAGGATCGGGGAGAGCTGACATCTTGGTGGTGGTCTGTTATAGACTGCCTAACCAGGATGAAGAGACAAATAAGGTGTTCTATGAGCAGCTGGAAGAAGTTATGCGGCTGCCTGCCATTGTTCTTATGGGGGACTTAAATTCCCTGATATATGCTGGAAATACAACACAGGGCAGAGGAAGCAGTCTAGGAGGTTTCTAGAGTGTCTG